CTTTGTGCTCTGAATCATATCCCCTTTGAAACTCTGAAATGACAGCTTTCTTTGTATTTTGGTCTCTGTCAGGTCTCCAAGTTTTCCTCTGATTCAAGACACAGTTTTAAAAGGGAAGCTGAGTGTCCCTGAGCTGAGGGTGACGCGCTTAATGAACCGCTCGATCTCCTGTACCATGAAGAACCCTAAAGGAGAGCTATTCAGCTATCCACCAAATAGCCAGGTCAGAGCAAGTCTCGACAAATCAACACCCAAATGTGAAATACCTTTCAGTTAAAATGCTGACTTGTGTAAATTTTACTCCTTTCCCTCTTTCTCAGTAAACATATATTTTAACTGTCACATGTCAAGTTTTGGTTGCAGTGTTTACGCCACAACTCTGAGGCTCTTAACTTTACTTTCTTTCCACTCATAAAAGTTCTGTTGTAGAAACCCGTAATGTTTGAAGTTAATATTTTAAGTACTGTAATTCTGGGAATTGTATGTGGTGAAATGCTGCTATTAAGAAACTTAAGTTTTTTTTGTTTTTCTTTTTCTTTTTATGTCTTAATCCGCTGTGATTCACTCTGACCCCCTTCTCAGTCACCCGCCACCTGCACTATACCCACCTGAGTCTTTCCCTACCCTTACCGTAACATGGCTGGTGCGCCCTTTCCCATAATGCTTTGTCTTCACTTGACTCATCAGACTGTGGCTGTCCCGGCGGCCAGGGCCCCAGCGCAGATTACCACGAGGCAGCTGATTGAATTGTTTTTCTCATCCCAGGCGGGCGGCCACTGCAAGAACATTCCTACCTTGGAGTATGGCTTCTTAGTGCAGGTTAGAGCTCAAAAAGATGTCAGTCCACTTACAAAGCCACTTCTACATTTTGTCTCAGTCATAGCTAAGAAGAAAGTAAACTAATTATCTGAGCATTAAAATACCACATGTTGTTTGAATGACTTAAAAATAAAAAATAATACCTGGTGAGTAATTTATAAATGGCTCCTGGGGATTTCATGATTGTTTGGTGTGAACCCACGCCATACAGTCTGTAGATTCTATTAGCTCCTAGTATTGTGCAAATGATTGTTGAGCTCTAAAATGTAATGTTATTCTAGGACCCAAAACCATGGCATTGTAACAACTTTGCCAAAATAGCATTCCTTTGAATGGCAGTGCTGAAGGTGACAATTAATTCAGAATTAAACTGCTTTTCCCCCCAAACAGATAATGAAGTACTCAGAACAGAGGATCCCCACACTTAATGAGTACTGCGTGGTTTGTGACGAACAGCATGTCTTTCAGAATGGATCCATGCTGAAGGTACCAGAGGCAAATAAGAGAAACACGTAGATGTATAAGTAAGAGATGCAGAAATATGAACCCTTATATAAGTGGAAAACATATCAGTAAAACTTGAAACATGATCTATGATTTTTTTTTTCTGTCAGTAATATACATATGCATTTTTCTGGTTGAAGATTTTCTTGCTTACTTAATACTGGAGTAAGCAAATGGGAAGATTGTGTGAGTTCATGTACCTTTTTGTGTATGGGTAGTAGATTT